TCGGGACTAACAATAAAATTTAGATCTGGAAGAGACTTTAGAGATCATCCAGATTGGTGGCATAAAACTCAAATAGAAATGGAACACTTTGGGCTGTATATTGACTTAGAAAACCACAAATTAACATTGTCTTTGTTATATTTTTATTTATTTTGTTAAGTATTTCTCAATTACATTTTAATCTGGGTGTGGCCACGGGAGTTTTGATAGCTTTGAGACCAACTCTCTAAATTACAGAAGAGGAAATTGAGGCTGTGATAGGTTAAGGGACATTCTGAAATCAGGCCGGGAATAAATAGAGTTAGAATTAACACACACACACACACACACACACACACTCAGAATCTCGAAGTTTCCTTGTACCATTTAATCCAACCCTGTATTGGAATGAGGATTCCCTCTACAAGTATCTGATAAGCAGATCTTAACCAGCCATCAAGGAAGAGCCCCATGCCTCCCATGGCTGGCTCTGATTATTAGGAAGTGCCTAAGCCTTCCTTTTCATCTACCATCCGTTGGTCTTAGTTCTGCCCTCTGGGACCTAGCCGAACAACTTTAGATAGAAAGGACCTTACTGGTCATCTAGTCCAACACTGTCATATTACATTGAGGAAATTTGTTGGGAGAGGTTGAGTGATTTATCCAAAGTCATCCAGGTTAGTTATTGATAGAACTGGGATTTGAACCCAGATCCTGTGACTCGAATACAGCAGAGAATTCTTCTTTTATGGGAGCACCTTAAACATTTGAAGAGAGCTACCATGTGACCTCTATCTTCCTTTCCCCCACTAACATCCCCAGACAGTTTCTCTTTCCCTAGAAAATTTCCCCCATCCCCATCCCCAACACACACACATACAGCTTTTCCACTGCAGCATAGATGCTTCTCATCATCAGAAGTTCTTGGAAAAAATCCTCTACTAAGGAATGTCTGAACACTTCTCAAGTCTCTTTGCTGGCTCATAATATATATCCTTCCCCTTAATTGTGGGTGTCCCCCAAGGTCCTGTTCTTGGGTTCTCTCTGTCTCCATACACGCACATACACGTATACACTCATATGTATATATATTTGAGAGAGAGAGAGAGGTGTCTCTAATCAACACAGAAAACTCCCATTGTATCTCCACCAATTCACACTAGCAACTTTCAGCCAATTAGAGAATCCCTGAGTCACTGAGAGTTTAAGAGACTTGGCCATGGTCACAAAGCTAATATTTGTCAGAGACAGGTCTTGAACCTAGAACTTCTAACTTCAAGGATTCTAACCAGTACGATAGGCTGCCTCTGTGCTGCAGTTGCAGTATAAAATAATACTCCCCTGTACTGAGGTCACACTTCAGCATTTGAAGAATAGTGAGTGATATGGGACCAATCACTGGATTGTGTTTGGATTCTTAACCAACCAACCTTCTTTGTGCCACTACCACAACCAATGGCTTCCCTCAAGCAAGGCATGATATCACTATGAGTTAGGTGGTAGTGACTGCTTTTTTTTTTTTTGCAAGGCAATTAGGGTTAAGTGACTTGCCCAGGGTCGCGCAGCTAGTAAATGTCCAGTATCTGATCTGAGACCAGATTTGAACTCAGGTCCTCCTGATTCCAGGGCCAGTGCTGTATCCATTGCGCCACCTAGCTTCCCCTGCTTTTTTTTTTTTTAAAGGATGGAATTTCATTGATATAGGAAGTACCCACTGAGGGTGAAGAAACTCCATACATCCATGCAGTTCAGCTCCTGTGCTATAATTTATAATATGAGAATTGCCTTGACTCCATTGAGAGGTTAAGTGACTTGCCTAGGGTCACACTATAATTATGTTGTTGGACTTGAACCCAGGTCATCCAGACTCAATAGGCTAGTAAGCATCCACTAAGGTGGGCTGCTTCTTGATTAACACAAAAAAATAACACATCTGGGTTATTATTTTCCAGTTACAGAAACTAAAATTTAGAAAAGACTAGCTCAAGGATATAGGACTATTAAGTACCAGAAGAACCAAAGACACTTAACTCGAAAGGCCCATTCTCTGTTATATTATCTTCTATAGTCCTTCACAGGCTTATAGGTCTTAAGAGCCTATAACGAATCTGTCCAATCCTTTTATTTTACGGAGGAAGAAAATGCAGCATCTTTTTGATGATTAAATTTGCCTGTTCTGTCTCCAATACAGGAGACAGCCCCTACCTTTTCCGTCTGTCTCCATTGCCTTACGCCTACTACCTCACATCCCAACTTCCTGCCACCCTGAAAAAATAAAATGTTATTCCTTTAAGGTCCAGTTCCAAGTACTTTGGAGGTATCAGCTATCTAATTTGATTCATCTGTTCTAAAGTGCTGGAGAGAGTGAAAGGTTCAGCCTTCTCCAGTTTATAGACACAGTTTAACAATTTATTTTGTTGTTGTTATTGTTAAAGCTAGAACTGGAAGGAACCACTCTCTTATTTTACAGATAAAGAAACTAAGAACCAGAGAGGTTGAGACTTGTTCAAGGCCACACCGATGACAGATGGAACTTCAGCACAGGTCCTGTGGTGTAATGGAGAGAGTCCTGAATTTAAAGAGAGATTTGACCTGCATTCATATCTCAGCTTTATCACTAACTAGGTCTTTGGGTAAACCACTCATCCCTTCTCGATCTCTTCTTTGTAAAATGAGAGTTGAACTAGATGATATCTTAAGTTTCTTCTCAACTCTAAACCCTAGAAGGCTATAACATATGTATATATTATATATGTATACGTATACACACACACTCCTTTGTTGTCTAACTTGGAGAGGTAAGTTGGTGGGAATGATGGAAATTTTCGACTTAGTAGGAAGAGGGGGCAGTGCCATGACAAAATGGTAGAGAAAATGTAGGGCCATAGAGACTTGAGGTGCCCTCTAATTCCATTACCTGGTCAGTTGTCTACTTTACCTATGCACAAGGCCAGCTCTGCCCCCATCTGTTACAGTTAAGAATTAGAATCTGCATCTGAGAGATACGTGAAAGGTGATGGTCTGGCACTTTATGGAATGATGTGGATAGTATATAAGAGGCTATCTTGAACTTCTCCGGATCATTGTTTTAGGGCTGGAAGGAACTTCTGAGATCATCTGGTACAAACTAGATCATCATTTAGCAAGTGAGGAAACTGAAGTCCCTAGAGGATAAACAATCTGCCTAAGGTCACATAGTAAGCAGCCGAGCTGGTACTTGAACCCCGGTCCTTAGATTCCAAATCTAGCATTCTTTCCACTGTATCACACAGTCTTTTAGGGGACAGTCTTGACAAAGACTTTGGGCAAGAGGAAATTAGGCATGAGGGGTACAGAAAGGCAGTTTGCCTGGAGTAGAAGACATGGACTAGAAAGTTGGAGCTGAACTTGGTTAGGGAAAGGCATAGTTGACAAAAATGGTGTAGATTAGGGAGAGTAGGGAGTCTAATTCTTATGGGTGGGGAGGCATGGCGCTTGGAAGATATAGTGTAGGAGGAATGAGTGCAGCGTTATACAACCCCTCCTGTTAAGGTCTCTCAGTTGTCCCTGGGATTACCTGCCTCTCCTCAACTGGGGGGTCAAGGCCTTGTTGCTCTCTTCCTGTAGCTGCAAATCTGGCTCCTAGTTCAAAAATAAGCAGAATTCTTAGGATGCCCAGCTTGCTGGGTGAGATGGCTTCAGGTCCAGGCTCATTTCCCATTCTTCCCAGGGGACTGGGAAGCTGACTTAAGCTCTAAACTTTTCTAACCAAAACTGTTCTTCTCTCTTTGCATCTCCCTATCATGTGCCTATGTGTGTTGGGAGGTAGGGGATGTGGGGGTGTGTGGCAAATAAGTAGGAGAGAAGAGGGATAGGGCTGGGGTTTGACCAGGTAAGGAAGAGTTCAGCCTGTATGGATCAGGGGACAAGTTGTGTGCTAGCGGTGAAGACCTCCTGGACCTTTTCCCAGCTACATCCAGTTTCATAGCAGAATTAGAAGTAGAAGGGAACTTCGAGGCCAGCTAGTCTGAGCCTCCTGGTTTTACAGATGAGGAGACAGGCCCTGGGGGAATGATTTACACCAGGTCACCTGAACAGTAAGTGTCCGAGCCAGGATTTAAATCCAGGTCCTCTCACTATAGATTCAGTACTCTTTCCTTTGCCTTCAAATCTGTTTCTCCCCTATTTTCCCCACCACATTCCTCCTAATTCTCAGGGAAATTCTCAGACCAAGCAGGGTGTAGTCTTGGGGTTCCGGGTCCTGGCTACAGTGGACTGAATCCAAGTGCATAATTTCTGGCACACAGGGGAAGGGGAGGGGAAATGGAGGTGGAGAAACGTGGCTACTCCTACAGCTCCCCTGGAGAAGTACAATCCAACACAGATCTTTTTAGAAAAGCAGGTTTATTGGTCAGGCTGATTACCAGGATGCAGTCACAAGAGACTACGAGCCCTGGAGCCCAAGAGAAATGGCCTCATAGCTCTGCATCTCCCTCCCCCCCTCCCATTCCTCTGAAAGCCTGGCCCCCACTAGCCCATCAGCACCAAGGGACCCTGGGCCCCACCCACACCCCATCCTCCATCAGCTATTTCTTCATCTCTCCAGAGGAGGAAGGGAACAAAAGGAAAAAAAAAAGCGAAGCATGTATAAAAGAGGTTTGTGTCCCTAAGCTCCCTTCTCAGAAACAGCCCAACCCCCCCCCCAACCCCACCCTTGGCTGAAAACAGCTGAATGCAATTCTACAGTATAAAATAATCATAAAGCAAGGAAACTTCTGGAAGAAATGAAGGGGTAGGGAGCAAGAAAAGAAGAAGTGGGTATTAAGTGTAGTAGGATAAAGCCCCCAGTTCTAGGCTTCGATTAAAGAGTGTAGAGTTGAAGATGCCATCGTTGGGGCTAAGCTGCCTCTGCAATTTATATCCCCAGAGAGGGAACTGGGCTAAGGGGGTGGGGTTGGCACTGCGGGATACTGAAGGCAATATGGTCAAAAGTTAGCAGAGATCTCGTCCTGCCAACTGCAGACATTATCCCACCCCACCCCCAAAGATACAGGAGAGGAACTCCGTGGAACAGGGAAAACAAAGCTAAAAAAAGGTCAGAATTGTGCCTAACTTAGGGGAGTGGGGGAGGGGAGTACTAAGCAAACTGCCAGACAGTGCCACAGATAAGCCTGGGATAGGGTATAAATACACATTCCCTACCCTGGTTTCCTCTCTTATTTTCTATCTGTACTTCTCTGCTACACGCACATATTCCATCTGTCTCTTTCTGTCAGAGACACTTGTGCCCCTAACTACCTCCAAAACCCTAACTAGTCATAGTTTTCCATCCCTACGACTTTCCATTTCACTGATCCAGATGCAGCTGGGCAACAAGAAATGGGGCAGACCTTGGGTCATACTATCCAGATGAGGGGTGAAGTTTGGCTGAGCCTTCCTGACGCTGTCAGGTGGGCAAGGTTGTCACAGTGGGTCGACCAAGGCAGAGAGCTTGCCCCAAATCCTGCAGCCAAGCTGGGCTTTTAGCTTGGGACTTGCCCCTTCTCAGTCCTTCCTCCTGCAGCTGGCAATGGATCTTCTATACTCTTGGGAGCACTGGCTGGATGCCTAGTCTGTTCTCTATGCTGCTAGGGAGGGGCATTTCTCCTCCTCCCTTCCCCCAGGCTCCACCTTCCAGTGATCCATCTTCCCACACAGCTATGTGTGTACGTGCCTGCACGGGTGCATACATGTAGATGTATATGTTTCTCCAGGCTCCAGCCCTTTTATGCTAGGACCTAGGCCAGGGATTTGACCTGGCCTGAACATCTGTTTCCCTTCCTCAAACCCTACCGCCATTCAACTATCATGGCTCTGTTTGCTCCATACTCCACTGTCCCAAACCCCAAAGTGCCTTCCTGTTCTTTCAGGAAAAAGCCCCCATTTCCTCTAGGAGTGGATATGGCTTAAACCCCCAAAAGATGGGGTTTAAGGACACGTTTATAGAATAACTTTAGTGGGGGGGAGACTAAAAAGGCAGGAATGAGAGCTGGGAGTGGGTGAAGGAAAGGGGACGGTAACACCCCCAAAGGCTTTTGATGGCCATATAATGGAAATGGCAGCAACTTCTTCTTGCAGACCCCAAAGTGGATAATTAGAAAATGAGTGATGCCTTTTTTACTTTTCTACCACTAAAAATATCATAGTGGCAGGTTCTCCCAAAGTCTCCTTTCCTCCTAAAAGGCAGGGAAATGGAGGGGAAAGGGGTGAATTCTTTATAATATATTTTCAATTTATAAATCTCTCAGCCAATGCCCCAGCTTGGGGCAGAGAGACAGACAGACAGAATGAAACAGAGACAGAGAGAGTTCAAAATAAGAAAGGATCTGGGGATGGGAGAGCGGGGTAGGCTTCCTCCCACTTCCCCATCCCCAGAACCTCCAGAGAGCATGGCTCTTCCTTTCCCTCCCTATCCAGCTCAGTCGCTATCACTCTTGTCCACCAGCACAGCATCTGACTCCTCGGTGATTTCCAGCAGGGTGTGCATGTCAGGACTGCTCCCTCTCAGGAGGTCGGTACCCTCACCACCATCATCTTCGACTCCATCCTCTTCACCTCCAACCTCCACCATTTCTGTGGCCTTGACAACCTCGACTTCCCCTTCTCGGATCTTCTTGACATGGAAGGTGAAGGGGGGCACCTTGTAGACAGCGGTCTTGGAGCGGGCATAGACCACATGGTCAGGGGTGAAGGACTTGCGCAGCTTGTCTCGGGACGTCTTCATTTTCTCCCGCCGCTCGGCTGTTACGATCCTTGTGCCCAGCTTATTCATTCTCTTCTCCAGATTGTGCCTTGTCTTCTCCAGGTTCTCTTTGGTCTTTAGTCGGGTCTTCTCCAGGTTCTCCCTGGTTCGCACCTTCGTCTTCTCCATTTTCTCCTTGGAGAAGGCTTTCTTGAAGTCATCCACTCGCCGAAGACCACTCCTCTTAATTCGCTCGGCTCTGGACTCCTCGATGATTTCCTCGACTTCTACTGCCTCATCAGAGGACAGTTCCAGGGTAGCATCATCTTCAGGCTTCTCTCCCCCCTCACCCAGCTCATCACCTTCCTTCTCTGGCAGAAGCTCAGACTCCTTCAAGGACTTGCTGATGCTCAGTTTGGCCGGTAGTTTCACTTCATCCTGGTGGGAGAAAACAAAAAATGGTTCGGGGAAGAGAAGAAAAATCAGAGCTCAGTAGGCACAGACAAAATGTGTTTCTGAGATAGCCCAGGACCATGAACTGAAGAGCTATGGGAACAGCAGTGCCTCCCAGACTACTGGCCCAGCCTTCACAGCCATCACTGAGGGGAGAAATCACTGTAGAGAAGGGCCCTACCTTTCTGAACTGTTGACCAACTGCCATCAATGGGCAGGTAAGCCCAAGAGCCCTGGGAGTGGCAACAGAAATCACTCACTAGTCCTAACTCACAAGACTTCCAGCAGGGCCCCTGAAGCCATCACCCTGGGAAGCACACTTTATGTATGGGACCTGTCAACTTCTGTAGGTGCCATAGCCTTGCCTCTTCAGCAGCCACAGCTACTGGAGATCAGAAAAGTTCTTGCCACCAAAGTCCTTGGCACTGCCAAATGGTTCAATATCAGAAAAGAATATTTTATCAGTAGAAAAGACATGAAAGAAGATAGACTGCTGTACCCTAAGGGCAATTGGACCTTTCCATCTGATTTGCAGCTGAAACCTTTTATGTTAGAATGTGAATTCCTTGAAAGCAGGGAATGTCTTGCTTTTTCTATTTGTATCCCTAATGCTTAGTACACAGTAAGCACTTAATGCATGTATTCTGGGTGTGGTTTCTGTGTTGAAGTTGGAGGAAAGGCTATAGTCTGGAGAATATGGAAAGGAATGGATTAAAAGATGATTAAAGAAATACCATAGCCAGAGTGTGGTGATTGTAGAGGGAGAGGAAAGCAGTGGGCTTGGGAGGGGCTAAAGCGTCAGAAATACAAAGAGTTCTGAGAGGCTACAGAAGGAGAAAAAGTCACAGGAAGTTGGGATAAATTATTTTGTAAACAGCTGGGGAAGGATAATGCCCAATATGGTCATGGGGCTATAGCCAGAGACCCCAGGGCAGGGTCTAATTTTACCCTTATTCTCTTGGTATCTACTATGCCAGTGACCATAACTAGCCCTGCAAAGGAGGCAGAGTGCCCTCTGGTGGTCACAGCAGCACATAGATTTGAACAGTCCCCTTAAAGAGCAATAGTAGTAGTAGTAGTAATAATGATGTTTCTACACTTCTAAAGTTTGCAAAGTGGTTTATCTACATTATTTCATTTGAGTCTTATAACAATTTCCATTTTGCAGAAGCTAGGCACACACATATTTCTGATTGCAAGTCCAGTACCACCATGATGTAGGGCAAGATGAGGACTGAGGACATGGTAGTAAAGGTGTGGGGTCCCATTTTTCCCCCTGAAATCTCCCAAGTTCCTTATAATTTCAGAACCAGTTCTCAGGGCTAAGGGGGAAAGGCATGAATAGTGTGTTCATACTTGCCTGGGATGGGGGTGAGGAAAAAGGTTAGAGGTCATAGCTAGGGTTAATCCCCTTTCCCAGGTTATATTATTGACTTCTCTATAGCTAGGGCCATTCCCTCCTGTGGAAAAGGGACTATAGAAGGGTGGCTGTGAGCCAAATACATGTTTTCTTCCCCATTCTTCTCTTACCTCCCGCCCTTCATGGTCCACTGTCTACTCCCTATCCCCTTTGGAAGTCAGAGAATTGTTTAACTTTCCAGTTGTGTTTTGTTTTTCGAGTCTGTTTGGGGCAGAATCTAGAGTGCCTTTCCCCCACCTTTACCCTTACAAACTTCAAAGCTCCCTCTTCCCACCTTCCCAGGGCCAAACTCATATTTGTGGATAGATGGACAGTCATGGTCATCTTTTCCCTGGATCCTAAATATCCCCACACACTCCAGAAGGAGGGGCATGGAGGGAGGCAGAGATTGAGCTAAGAGGGAATCAAGGAAGCATAGAGTCCAAGGGTTCTCTCCTCTCCACTCCATCCCTCTCTTGGTCCAGGAACTGCAGAGTTTAGGGATGAGAGGAAGTTGGTTTTTACAGAGGGATTTCCCTTGCCCTCTAATCTCTGCCTACAACATTCTCCAGGATAAAAAGCAGGAGGCATCTACTGTGACAAAACAACGGGGAAGTCAGCCAGGCTGGGAATAATTTCTTTCCAAGGCAAGGGATGGTGGTGAAAGTAAGTGCCCTGTGTTTTTTGCCCAGTGTGATCATGCGTGAGAACATGAACACACAGACACACACACACAGACACACACACACACTCAGTGATGTCTCCACAACAACCACCACCTGCACCAAAGATTCTCTTCCTCATTCTTTCTCCCACCCTTGCATATCCTCCAGTTTCCTGGTTTATATAAAAAGCTAGGAACACCCCTCCTCCTAACTTCCTTCCTTCCCTGTCAACATCATTAGCTAGGACAAAGGGGGAACCACACCTCTTCTTCCAGACTAGGCAACCTCCCCCTGCCCCCATGTCCCTGGAACTCTGAGGCACCCTTATCTCTCTTTTGTTCAACTACAACTCCCAGTGGACAAAGTGACCAGTGCATAAGGGATGCTGGGACTTGTAGTCTCCCGTCAGTGGCTTCCTGGGTAATTCTCTTCATTCCTCTGTCTCTTCATCCTCATTTGTGGTTGATAAGAGGTGGTTTCTCCAGTGCTGAGGTACCCTAACCTCCATCCTACCAACCCCCCTTCCTTGTCTGGGAATGTGTCTTCTTTTTTTGCTCTTGCTTCCTCCCTCTTGCCATGTTCTAGCCCTTTTACTTAGGATATCTGGGAATGGGGGTGCTCTGCCTCTTTCAGTTCTATTTAAGTTTCAATTTCTACCACTTTACCATCCATTCCCTCCCCACTAGCACATTCATACTTCCATTCCTGGGCAAGACAGGGCTAGAGGAGCCATCTTAGAGAAGGCTTTTTCCCGCACTGAGCTCAGGAGCTGGGGAGGGGTAAGGCAGGGAATGCCAGGCAAAGACAAAGGGCTGCTGGAAGAGTCAGGAAACTGCTGCAGCAGCTGGGAAACAGACCAGCATTGTGTCTCTGCCCTGCCCCCCACCCCTTCAGCATCACTGGTCCTCCCCACTGCTCCACCCCAACCCCCAAAGCTGAGTTGGCTCATTTTCCTGGACTATGAATTTCCAGGGAGAATTCAGGGCAGTGAGCTGGGGTAGGGGGTGAGACAGGACTTATAAATCCTCTATTGCCTCCTCCCTATTCAGAGCCCCTGGTAGCCTGGCCTCTGGGCATACCTCAGACTAGAGTAAAGGATGATTGATGCACACTTGGGGAGTCTGTGCCTACCAGTGAAGGGTAAGGGAAATAAGTTGGGACATGGACTAATAGGGAAGAGGAAAAGGAGAGAATATTGTTTGTTTTGGGGAAGGGGTTTGGCTCTCCCAATCTGAAGAGATACCTGGAACCTGTAAACTCCTAAGATGGGGGTTCACTCCCAGGAATCAATGGGATAGATGCCAAGGGAATCTAAGGGATAAGAACATTTGTCCTTTCCTGGTTGGGGTGAGAGGTAGGGGAGAACATCTATGGTCTGAGTTCCTGGGTCACCTTCCTTGTGTCCTGGCATTGAGGAGATGGGACTCCTACTGGCTCTCGGGAGAATACATCAATGAGCAGGCTGTCTTTGAAGAGTACCCCAATGAGACTCAAAATTCTCCCTCATTGAGTTGATTCTTTTTGTAGAATCATAAAATGCCTACGAACGTCACAGCTGGAAGGCCCTTAAAGTCTAACCCCTTCTTTTTTCCCTCACTTTCTAGCCATGGTTCTCTGGAGCTCAGTCTTTAAAGCTATTATAGTTTGCTACGATAGTAGCCACATAGTCTAACAGATTCTTCCTCACCCTGGGCCCACAGGGTCTACCACTCTTTACTCCATTTCCCTGGCAAGGCTCACAAGCAAAACTATGTCTTGCTCAGTTTTAACATTTTTGTTTAACAAAACCACCACTGGCATCAAACTTGGTTTCCAGAATTACTTTTAATGTCCACGTCTGAGCATATGCACACACAGTTCTGCCCCTCACCCTCACCAACATCCACAAGGGCTCCCTGCCAACCCTGTGTCAGACAGAGATGAAGGGTCTTGCCTCTGTTAATTCTGACCCATAAGTCAGAAGAACCACCTGATGGGATACCACAGCCCCCAAGCCCCTTCCTTTAAGAGCTCCCATTTTTGTATGAGAATCCCTGTTGTGGAATGAAGAAAATTCAGGGAAAAGAAAATACAACTATCATGAGGCCCTAAATATGAGCTTCTGAGGTTAGGCAGTCTCCACCCTCTTTCTTCCCTGTAACGTCCAGAGAACACTTTGGGAAGAAGCTTATCAAATCTGTGAGGTATCTGTTAGAGTATAAGATGAAGGAAGGTTTAAAGACTGTGAAGCTGAACGTATGCATGTGGAAGAGTTAGGGGAAAGGGTGACAAACAAAACAAAATCTCTAGGACTTCAATTCTTGGTGGATAAGTCAAAGGTGTTACAGACATTAACCCTAGAAGATAACCCTCCGTACCCTGGAGGGAAAAGGAGGCTAAAACCCTACTGGGCCACTGTATCATCTTCCTTCTGCGGGTTTCTCTTGGGTTGGCAGCTCTTGGGCACCCTGCCTAGGGGAGGATCTGGCAAGCACAAAGAATCTCTTTGAAAAAATATATTTTTTTTAAGTGGAAAAAAAATGCATATATTTTTCCCTCAGCTGGAAAAGGAGGTGTGGAACCTTTTGGGGGAGGTCTCCAGATAATGCTCCTCCTACTCCCCTCAGACACCCCTGGCTGCTTTTGGCTAGAGTATTTCCTAGGAAGGAAAGGCAGCGAAGGAGCTGAGGGAGTATTCTGTGCAGAACTGGGAGCCATAGGCTCATTCTTTAACAGTCAAGTTCCATGAACTAGGGATTGGGGGAGGGGGGGAGGTTGCAGCTCAGACATGGAGTTTGCTTTGAGGATGCCTGCTAAAATCCTAAAATTGGAAGATGGAATAGACCCTTCTTCCCTTCAATCCCAAAACAGGAGGGTAGAACACCTCAACTACACACACACACACACACACACACACACACACACGCACACACACACACACACACACACAGCCCTCTACCTCCCCTTTTTTGCCCATAGCTTGCTACACTACGAATTTTCACTGCACACGATCACTTGTGATGGGTCCTGGTCAGGGCCCATGTTGTCCCTTTCTATCTTGACCACCGCTGAGCCCTTAAGGGGAAGATGCCTCTCCGTGATCAGGGTACCATGTGATCCCAGACACTTTAAATACCCCCTGCTTCTGTCAGCTCCTCAGGGTTAGTCGGGGACCCAGACTGTGGGTAATAGGGCACTGTCCTGGGTGCCAGGTCAAAGGGTGGATGCTCAGGCATAGTCTCAGGCAACAGGTCAAAGGGCACAGTCTCAGGTAGAAGGTCAAAGGGCACGATCTTGGGTGTGAAGTGCTCAGAGGATGTTTTCGGCTTCTTCTCAGGCTAAGGTGAGGAAAAGGGGTTTAAAAGGGATGTTGGGTGGATGAAGAATGTGTTGAAAGGAAGAAATCCTGGGAGGCATGCAGGGATGAAGCTGGTGATTAGGGAGAAGAAACAAAAGCAGAATGGAGTTAGACTCTAAGTAGGAGAGTTGGAATAGGAGGAAACCAATTTAAATTATGTCTCCTGGGTCCAGGATGGGTTGGGATGCACAATGCTGAAGCTAGATGGCAAAAGATACCTGTGAGCTGGAGACTCAGAAATAGATTCTATTTTTCACACACACACACACACACACACACACACATCCTCCCCTACAATCCCCTCCCCAGATTCCTTCCACCAGTACTTCTCTCTGTCCCTGTCATTCTTCCTCTTTCTCAGCCTCCATATCCTGCCCAAACACACACACCCATCAGAGAACAAGATACAGCTTTTGCAGTGACTCAGGGGCAAAACTATGAAAAAGGCAAATTGGGTGAAGGTAAAGATGAGGAAGAATGAAAGGCTTGGGGGTGGGGAGGAAACAAAGGGCTCGAGGAGGAATGGGATACCAGCTCCCAAGCCCCTTCCTTTATATCCCACCTTTGCTGAACCATGAAACCTGTTGAGAAGAGTGAGTCGAGCAAACATTGGGAGGAGAGGGTAAAGAGAGCAAGTAAACAACTTTGCCATCCTCCCAGTCTGGAGGCCCAGCCCCTACACAGCTGCTGATCCAGACTTTGATTAAACCCGCAGGCAGGGAGAACACAGGGTAACATCTAGGGTGGGAGAAGGGAGAGGATGAGGAAGAGGAACATCCTGCCCCTCCCCATCAGATCAATTTCCCTTCTGCCACATCACTTCTTCCACAGCCTCCTCTCCACCCCCTCCTTATCCCACAGTGAACAATGGTATACCAGAATGGCCTAAGAGATTAGAAGTTTAAAAAACAGGTCAGCCCTAAATCTAGAAATGCACTGAGCTGGACCTAATTAACTCTAGATACTTAGGGGTGAAGCCAGACCAATCTTCATACCAAAATAGCTTGAGAGAAAAGAAATTAGAAGACAGAGACCCTATGAAAGTTTGGCCTGCACCCAAATGCTCCTTCAAACTGATGGCCAACCTCTGGGAGGAAACAGAATAAGTCCACATCATTCCACTTTTCAGGGTCACTCAGTACTTCTACTATTCCTCAATAATTCCATGCAGATCAAATTTATTTCCAGAAGAATTTGAGGGAAAAGGGGGTGGGAAGAGGAGAGTGTTAATCTTGTTGGATATCGTTAAGAGCAAAGAAATTAGGAGGAGTGTCAGATTTTGGAGACACAGAGCTATCCCTGGAGAAAGGTTGGGGAGGGAAGTACCCACTCTGGCAATAGCTGCTACATCATAATGCCTGGAGTCATTAAAACAAAAAAAAAAAAAACAGGTTCTGTACTGAAAGTTAAAAGGGAGAGGCTGGGAGTGGGAGTGGCAGCAGGGATAGGTAGGATTGAAGGTCCAACAGATTTTTGGTGAGGCCATGGAAAAGGAGCCAGAGCAACCTTCTACCCAGCAGCTGATGTCAAATCTCAGATTGAGTTGTGGATGAATTCAGAAGGCTCCTTTCCTTAACTTCACTTCTAAAGTCAAAAGCTCTAGCTGTGAACTCCAAGACTCTGTTCCCACTCGTGCAATGAGGAGAGGAATATCTGAGGAAGGTCTCTCTGTTCCCCCTGTCCCATAGACTAGCTCTGGCATCATCGTGGAGGCAGCCAACTACCTTGGTCAATTTATATGAAAGCAATGATGACCCTAAGCACACAAGAGCTATCGACTGTGGCCATTTACTCAGCTACTGCCAGCTCTGAGTTTCTGTTGCCTAAAAGTCAAGATGAGCCCCAGCTCCTCCAGTATGCATATACACCATAAAGAGAATGGCTGTGTACAGCCTCCAAAGTCTGCCACCCCTCCCAATTTCCTTTCCATTGTTGATGGTACCACCAGTCACTCAGGTTCAAAATCTTAGAATCATCTATCCTTCCTTCTCCTTCACCCTACAATCAGCTGTCAAGTCTTACAGACTCCACCTCCACAACATCCTTTATGTTTGTCCCTTTCTCTCCACTTACAAAGCCACTACCCATCAATTATCTATCACTTTTCTTTGAGGTTATTATAATAACCTCCTAACTAGTCTCTCTACCTCTGGTCTTTTCCTCTCTCTAATCTATCCTTCCAACAGCTACCAAAATAATTTTCTTAAGGTATGGGTCTGCCCAAGCCACTGTCTCACTCAAAAACCTTCAATGGTTCCCTATTATCTATAGGATAAAATACAAACTCCTTAGCTTGGCATATAAGATGTTTCACCAATTGCCTCCAGACTATCTTTCTAGGCTAATTTCACACCATTCCCATTCATATAGTCCTTTTGACAGGAAAACTGGATTACTAGCTGTTCAAATCTCTCTTGCCTCTCTCTCTCTCTCTCTCTCACACACACACACACACACACACACACACACAATGTTCTCCATTACTGGAATGTACTCTCTCCTCATTTCTAACTTCTGGAATCTTTATCTTTCTTCAAGACCTTCTTGATTCTCCATCCTTTCCCTCCTCAGATTTTCCTGAAGCACTTTTGTCCCTATCAAATTCTACTTTCAATCATGCTTCTATGTCTTATTCTCTCCAATAGAACATAAACTCCTTGCGGTCATAAACTACCTTTTTCTAATCTTCGTGTCCTTAGTTGTATATCACAGTGTCTTATACATAGTAGGTACTGAATATCTGGTGAATGAATTTGTATGTCCTTTGGAGACTAAAGATTCCTCTTATCTTCTGACAGCAGTTACCATTGGGGTACAGAAAAGCAGGGCAATAAGTTCTGAACTTTGGGGAGCCCTAGACTTTTGTTAAGGCCAGAGCAGAGGAAAAAGACCCTGTGGTCACTGGAAGTAATCTGAACTGCTTGTGTGCATATGGTTAGCATATTAAAAAGGCCCGGGGGGCATGCTGCCTAAAAACACCACCAACTCTCTCCCTTTCTATACATGATGCTGTTTTGTGACATCTTGGATCCATTCCTGGCTCTGCCATTTAGTAGCTGTATCTTGGCCAAGGCTCTTAACTTCTCTCAGCCTTAGTCTCTTGGTTTATAAAATGAAAGAGATTAGACTAGTTGCTCACCAAGGTCCCTTTGAACTTGAAATCCTCAGATCTCTAAAGTCCCTTCTGACCCTTGCAATTCTATATCTTCTTCCCTTAAAACATTTCTCTGGCATTTGTTTTAACCAGATTTTTCCAGGATAAAAATGTTTGACAAGGGGGATGTATGTATGTGTATGTGTGTATGTATGTATATGTATGTGTGTGTGTGTGTGTGAGATAAGAGAAAGAGATAGAGAGTGTGAGTATGACAGAGAGAGAGATAGAGAGAGAGTGTGAGTGTGAGAGAGAGAGAGAGAGAGAGAGAGAGAGAGAGAGTTGTCTGTCTGTCTGTAAGGAAAAGGCGCACCTTTTCCCAGGTCCCAGGCCCTAGTATTCCAGAATCACCGCATGAGGGGATCTCTCCTTGGGCCCCTCTCTGCCTCCAAAAGTCAAGAAAAATCAGTGCCTGTGGAAGACAGGTAATAATTGTAACAATATTTCTGTAGTTAACCCCTAGGATTAAGAGGGGGAAGAGAATGAATAAAAGTCTCTAAAACTTCTCAAAAGCAGCACTAAGGGCAGGGTATACTCTGAACCAAGGTTTGGGAATTATCTAAGTCTATACTCCAGAGTCAGATTTTGGGTGGCAGTCTGACTCACTCCAAGTGTCTGGAGAGCTACCAGTAGTTTGGGTTATAGTTTTAGGGAGGAGAGTCCCACAGGTCCCTCGGGTCTGTCCAGATCTCCTCCTCTTTAATCCCCATGAGCCATAATCCCGTAAGTGCCTTCTAGTCCTTATTTTTTTATAAGGAAAATTTAGGTCAAGACCAAACCTATGTATGGAAAGCATGGTGTAGTTTGAGGGGTGTTGGGAAAAGGCCTTCCTAAAAATATCTCCCTTCTCAGAGTACCGGAAATTCTCATCATTAAAGTTCCTTCTTAGTCTTGAGAAGGACCTGGATACAATCTAAATAGCTGCCTAGAAGTTAACCCATTAGCAATCAGCAATATTAGTTTATCAAATTAATTATCATTCTCCTATCCATTACCTGATAGAATTAGATATTAGGCAGCTAACTTTTGATTTGAGGGTTAGGACAGTAAAGGGGGAAGGGCAATGTCTTGTGGCATACAAATAAATTACCATTAGAGCAGAGATCTGGGAAGAACACTGAATTAGAAAGGGCCACCTTAATAAGGTACTTCCCTCCATTCTCCAACACTCTCCCCCAAAGAAATTGGGAGAAGGATGTGAGTGGTTAATGGTGAGACCAGATCCCTATAACCTTGATCCAACAGTTTGGGGCCTTCCCTATCCCTGCCCCCCCTTTTTAAAAATTAAATCATAGAATGCCATGGCATAACATCCCACAAGAGATCAATGTCATGATCACATAGCCTATCTTTGGAATGAAGACCACAGATAGGACCCCCATTTGCCACACTCCTCCAACATACACATGATGGGAGATTCTGTTTTGGCCATCAATCCTTCCCCAGACCCCACACCGAAACACTTATAAATTCTGCCCAACATCCTAATCCTTAGACCTGGGGTTTTGCAATAAAAGGTGGGAACTTTATTCACCTCTATAAGGTCTTCTGAAAGTCTTGGTACTATGTTTCCCTCATTCTTTTCCTGAATCCAAAGCCAAACTGCACAGGGTACTCTTGCTCTCTCACGATCTGCCTCCATACCCCCAAACTTTCCTGCCTGTATTCCCCTCAACTAGAACATTTGCCAAACATCCTAGGGAAAAAAACTCCCCTAATCCCCGCCTAGGGAAGGAGAAAGAAACAAAGGACAAGTACTGGGGACTTCTTTTCCCTCTCCACTCAGTCACCAAGGTGGAGTTTTCTCCAAGGTGTCAGCTTAGTGTTGTTCCCATTATTTTCTAAGTCTGAGAATGGGTGGTGCAGCGTTCAAATAGACCCAGCTTTTGCCAGTCTGACTTGCTTTCCCCATCATTTCACGCAACCAGAGTCCTAGTTCCTGCAATCCACTATCCTGGTCAGAGAATGACCTGACATACATATCTGCTGGTCAGATAGAAAGACAGGAGTGGTGTATATGTGTATGGAGGTACAGGGAAACTGACACTGAAGCCCTACATCATAAAATATTCCCCACCCCCACCCCCCAACCCTCTTCATAGAGGCAGCTAGTTATGTAATGGATGGGTCTGCAGTTAGGAAGACCTAAGTTGAAATCTGGCCTCAGACAATTACTAGATGCATGACCCTGGGCAAGTCACTTAACCTCTGCCTCAGTTTCTCCAACTGTAAGATGTTGAAAATAGAAGCATACTATTTGCTTTCTCTTTTTCTTGTTTTGTTTCTTCTTTCTCATGTTCCTCTCATTTGTTCTAATTCTTCTTTACAACATGATTAATGTGAAAATATGTTTAATAAGAATGTATATGTAGAGCATATATCAGATTGCACAGGTCTTGGGGAGGGGGGAGGGAGGCGGTGAAAATTTAAAACTCAAAAGCTTATAGAAGTGAATGTTCAAAACTAAAAATAAATAAATTTAAAAATTAAAAAGCGAAAAAAAGTAGAAAATAAAAGCACCTATCTCCTAAGGCTATTGTGAGAATAAAATGAGGTAATATTTGTAAGACAAAACAAAAACAAAACAAAAAAAAACACTTAGTACATGCCTAATACATAGTAGGTGCTAAATAAATGCTTATTCCTTTCTCTCTTTCCCCCTCCCTCCTGCGTCTTCATTTAAAAAAATAGGCCAGTTTATCTCAGGTCCAGGTTTCTTTCATGTATTTGGGACTCAGGGCATTATATGGGGCTAATACTTCATTATATTCATGGGCAGTTGCCTGGCCCAGTGGATAGAGCACTGAACCTGGAGTCAGGAAGACCTGAGTTCAAATGCAGCCTCAGAAACTAGCTATGTGACTCTGAGCAAGTCACTTAATCTTGTTTGCCTCAGTTTCCTCATTCTGTAAAATGAACTGGAGAAGGAAATGGCAAACCATTTCAGTATCTTTGCCAAGAAAACCCCAAATGGGGTCATGAAGAGTCGGACACCACTGAAAAACAATACTTCATTGATTTATTCAACTAATATTGACCAAGTACTTACAACATAATGTGCCACCTTGTATGGCACTATATGATTTGGAGAAAAAGGGAAGATTCAGCTGGTGTAGGTTAGGGATGGGAAATGACCCCTTTATGTTTTCTTTCCTCTTTTCCCTAAAATGCCTTAATTTTTAGTCTTTAATAGAAATGTCAATTCCTTCTCTCAAAACCTTTTTTTCAGCTCTTCCTCACCCTGTGCCCTACCCCACCCTAAAGCTATCAGAACTTTAATTGGAGATAGTCACAGGAAAACATTCTCCACCAGCTGGTGCCAGGAGAGGAGGATACCAGGTCCCTTTTTTGTTAAGTGGGTGCCTATAGGGAGGGGAAATCCCTGGCAAGTCAAGTTACTGGGGCTCAGACATTGGGTGGGGCAGAGTCTCTCTCTCTCTCTCTTTCTCTCTCTCTCTCTGTTTCTCTCTACTTCCCCAACCTGGAGAAAGATTCGAGGTCTCCTGTTTCCTCAAGACCACTCCCCACCCCAACTCTCCAGTGTAAGGATCCGCACAAGATAAAGGTTAGATCACCGAAATAACTACAGGGTGGCTAAAAGGCCAATGTAGCCAGGGCCCCATGAATTCACAGCAGTTATAACCCCACTGATCCTGGCTTCCTGAGCTAGAATGAATAGAACATTTAATGTCAGTGGAATGATAGTGAATTTCAATTATCTCCTGTTTCCTCTACTTTGTTTAGTAAGGAGAAAATAAGGCAGATATCCCAACTGGGACATCCCAAATCTAAGAGCCTGCCCAGCTGCTTCAATTATGCCTTCCCACCCAAAACCCTTGCTTTAATATAGATATAATTCACTAGAAACTGCAGGGATCCCGGCTAATTTCACTTTCCCTAATACCATTAGTCCTATAATAACTTTTACTGATCTGCAAGAGTCAACCCTATCTGATCAAATGGGTGGAGTAGCAAGCTACCAAGTTTCTCTAAGTCCTCAAAATCTGATATACCAGACTAAGGAATCCAGGATCCCTAGGGGTCCTCCATCTTTTCCCCCTGCCAGTTGTCCCACTTGAGAAATTTAAGGGAAGGGCTGATTCTTCATTCTATCAGATTGGGGAGCAAAATAACGGGAAGGGAATTAGGAGGGCCAGCCTTGCTGGCAAGAGCCCCACGGGTGCATGCCTTAGCTCTGAATCACCAAGCTATATCTGGCCAGGCCCGCTGGAGGCCCCAGTCTCAGGGAGTGGACAACCAGTGTCTGCTTACAGGCACTGCCCCTCCAGTCCTTTGGCTCTGCCCTTCCCCAAGACCCCTCCAACCTAAGCAGGGCAGTTTCCCTCTGCCACCTTCCCATTTGTTTTCCTGAAAAGTTTTCTAACTTCATCTTTTGACAGAAGCTGGGAATCTCCTGCGGGAAGGAATAAAGTCTTCTTGTATCCAGTAGCAGGGCAGAAGGTAGAGTGGTGACCCTTCACTCCACCCCTTTTCTCGACCCCCACCACATACAGGCGATTCTGATACCTGTAGGTCTGGGAGTAAACGGAGTTTAAAGAGGTCTGGTTCTAATGGGTCGTACAAGGAGAACGCTGAGAGCTAGGTCCGGGAGTGAGCTGAGAACAACAAACTCCGTTCCCCAGACTGAACACACCCGGAAGAAGGGATGATCCTCAGCTCTGGGGCAGATGGAGATGGGGATGGGGCCCGGGACAACTCTCCTCTCAGGCGGGATGGCCAAAGATGAGCTCATTGGGCTCCCTCTTCCCTTCCCCGATCTCAAGGGGCTGCAGCGGCAGGGTTTCAGGAAAGCCGAGTGGTCTGGGGATGGCGGGGACGAGGCGTGGGGTAAAGGCAGACATGGGGAAGAGTGGAAGGGGTCTGCAAGCTTGCGCTCACCTGGTAGATCATGACTTTAAAGTTCCGGCGCCGCAGCAGCTCCGCTTCGTTGACCTCGAGCTTCTTGATCTGGCCGGCCTGACGCTCCAGGCTGCCCCTCACGGTCTTCACGTTGACGCTGACCTTGCGCACCTTCTCCAGAAGTTTGCTCACCGTGTTGCTCGTGGTGGCGTGTGCCTTGCTTAGTTTGCTTAGCTCCCCCTGGATGCTCTGCACGGCCCCCTCCATCTCCGCCTGCCTTTCCTCTAGCTGGGCCTGGGTCAGCTGGATCTGGTCGACAGCTCCAATGATCTTGTCCAGCAGGCTCAGGACCAGCACTCCATTCACTTGGTCCGACTTGATCAGTTCCTCGGAGCCCCCTGACAGCTCCTCCGCGGGCGCCCCAGGCGGAGACGACTCCGGGACCCCAGCCTCAGGGTATACCGCGAGGGGCTGCTCAATGATATGAAGCGGTGTGTTTTCCATGGCTACCCGGAGCCGCGTGGGGCCCTGAGGAGTGGAGGTGGAAAGCTGCGAGGAGGAAGAGGAAGAAGAGGCAGAAAGAAAGAGAGAGGGAAAAGAGAGGAGAGGAAAGGCGAGGAAACCTGAGCTGAGTCCGTGTGCAACCGGCCAGCCGCCAGGACAGTGGGGCGGGGGCTCAGTAAACTCCCAAGCTGAAGCCCAGAGACTCGCAGCCCATTGGTTGGCCCTACCCCAGAAAAGGTGGGGACCGCGCGAAAAAAAGGGGGGGCAGAGACTGTGGTGGGCTGTGGGGGGGGGGCGGGAGCACAGCGCCCCACCCTCCCTGGGATGGTTGAAATATTTGGAGCAGGAGGCGAAGGCCTCCTCCGCGGGCAGCAGGGGCGGCCGGGAGTGGGGCTGGAACGGGGGCGGAGGAATGCAGGGCTGGGCGGGGAGGTAGATGAGTATTACCCTCCTTTACTTTTCGTCTTTCTCACCTCTCCCCAAAACCCTGTACCAGTCACCACCACCCCTTCCCTCTGCGACCACACCCCCTCCAAAAGAGATGTAAGCAACAACTTTAGGTCCAGAAAGTTTGAATATTTGGTTGTGGGAAAAGATGGAGAATTCACTCTAGGGTGCAGGGCTGGGGAGGTCCGGTAGCAAGGCCCCCCAAGTCAAACTTCTTCCCCAGAGAAGAGAAAGGTTGGTTATACACAGTGGTTCAGAAGACGCTTACAATCTCCTCTCCCAATTGCAATCCATGCCCTAAGTCCCTTCCCTCTAACATGTGTTCATATACTTCATAAACCTGATAAAAAGATTTTAGAGGAAAGTGTGCAAAACCCAGTACCCTCTAAGTCGCCAAATTCATGGGGAAGGAACATGAAGCCAGCACGCCTTTAAATGTGTGTTAATGTGTACCTGTCAGTTGGAGGATTCTGTTTAGTCCAAATGCAAACCTCTGCCTGGATAGAGGGTATGCGCAGGGCCAAGGAGAGCCCTCAGGGTACATGAAGCCTCTACTTGTGGTCTGTGAGGTTCTAATTAGCACCTACTTCATGGGATTGTTCAGAAAATCAAATGAGATAACATTTACTGAGATCTGCAAACCTTAAAGGGTTTAAGGTTTGACCACCTTAAATGGTGGTTGTTCAGTCGGGTGACCGACTCTGTGACAGCGATGGACCATACAGTCCATGGAGTTTTCTTGGCAAAGATAATGGAATAGTTTGCCATTTCCTTCTCCAGTGGATTAAAGCAGACAGAGGTTAAATGACTTGCCTTGTGTCACTCAGCTAGTTAGTGTCCTAGGCTGAATTTGAACTCAGGTCTTCCTAACTCCAGGGCAGCTAGTTGTCTAAGTGATGGCAAGTTACCTAACGCTGTTTGCCTCAGTTTCCTAATCTGTAAAATGAGCTAAAGAAGGACCAGTATCTTTGCCAGGAAAACCCCAAATGGGGTCATGAAAAGTCCAGGACAGGACTGAACAACATCTTCCTGACTCCAAGCTCAGAGCTCTATCCACTGAGCCACCTGGCTGCCTCCTATGTAAATAGTTTTTTTTGTTGTTGTATATATTTTGTTTGTATATAAAGATATTATTAATAATTTATCACTATGATGGTGAGTTCTAAGGAGCTTAGTCTACTTCCTCTCCTTCCTCCCCCCCAAAAAAATATCCATCCATACATAAACTCAACCCTGCAGACCTTTTGGTTAGGAAATCAAATCTGGAGCACTTCAATTGGATGGATTCCGGTGCTAATAAAAGGTCATTTCTACTCTATATAACCAGTCTGGCATCTCCTATCAAGAAGTATTGGATAAAAAAACTTTTCTGCAGAGTCCCCAAAGCAAACAGAAGGACCCAAAACCTACAACACCCCCCAACATTCCAGTAACCCAAAATGACAATGGCACTTCCCCTGCAGCCTACAGTGATTAGAATTTTACTTTCACCAGGGGTCTGTCTAGGATAGGAGCTTTTTTGTGTGCCATGTACCCTTTGGGCAGTGAAGCCTAGGGACATTTTCTCAGAATAACGTTTTAAAATAATTGAAGGAAATGCTGAATTTCTGTTAGGCATTAGTGAAAAGAAAGATGCAATTTTTCCCCCATACAAGTTCATGGATCACCTTGGCTTAGGTAATTTAAATTGCTGTTTTTAATAGTGTGAATTTACTTTAGAAATTAATTGTGTGAGAAGAACAGATGAGTTGATCAAGTGGCAGGAATGTGGAATAATAGTTTGACAGTCCTGGTATTTGAACAATAATTAGGAAGGCTTCTACTAGGAGGACCCCCTGTGGTGACCTTTTGGGCCACATGGACAAAATGGCACAGGATGGTTGGGTGTGGATGAGTTTTGGTCTGCATCATTATAGCAAATTCCAAAATAAATAGGATCACAGATATATTTGAGAATAACTATAAATAATTACATGTGTGTATCCTCCACTAAAATCCTATGATAATGATTGATTTTGTGTGGTTCTCTCCAAGGCTATAGCAACAGACTGAAAGTTGAAAAGTCTTATCAAACTGAAAAATGTAGCCCAGGGATGAACTGTGTCTGTTGTTTAAAAATCAACTTAGGTAAGGATGAAGAGGTTTGTCACCAAATATTGTTTTTTTCAGTATGGAATTTTGATCCTTGTTGGTTGCGGGAGTGTTCTGCTGATGAAATAGATCTTGGAGACAGTCAGGGTATAGTGGAAACAGTATTGATCTTGGAGTCAGAAGATCTGGGTTTAAATCTTGGCTCATATGCTTACTAGTTTGTATGATCCTGGACAAGTTTCCTATCCTCTGATTCCCTTTTTTTTTTGCTTTTTTTTGGTGAGGCAATTGGAGTTAAGTGACTTGCCCAGGGTCATACAGCTAGTAAGTGTCTGAGCTTACATTTGAACTCAGGTCCTCCTGACTCCAGGGTTGGTGCTCTATGGTGCCACCTAGCTGCCCCAAGTTTCCTATCATCTATGAACCTCAAGTTCCTCTGTAAAATGGGGATAATAACATGTACATAAACAATCTTATGGCGTTATTGTGAAGAAAGTGCCTTATAAACCTAAAAATATTATGTAAATGTAAGCTATTATTTCAAAGCATGTAAAAATAACAGAAGTAGCAATTTAATATCACCTTATATTTATATAGCAGTTTGAGGTTTGCAAAGTACTTTCTCACAACATCTGTGTGAAATAGGTATTACAAATGTTATTGTTCCCATTTTATAGACAAGGAAATTGAGACTCAGAAAATAGGAGGTATTCAGAGAGATACACCCAAGCTCACATAACTAACAAGTATATGAGCCAGGATAGGATTTGGACCTCAGGCTTTCCTCAACTCTAAGCCTAGCGCTCTTTCCATTATACTACATTGCAGTTTAAACATTTTTTTGTGTGTGTGAGGAAAGAGGGTTTGGATGGGGTGGAAGTGGAGGTAGGGTATTAAAACTGGTTAAAGGAGTGTTGTTTTCTTTTTTGCATTCTTCTTCAATACTCCTAGGATCGACAACCAGAGAAACTCAATTCAAATCCTGACTTACTACCTTTGTGACCTTGGACAAGTCACTTCATCTTTCTGGGCCTCAATTTCCTCATCTGTAAAATGAGATGGTTGGACTTGATGACTTCTGAGGGCCTTCCTAGCTCTAAATCTACAACTTTCGTAGAAGATCTTTGAGAGTTGCTGTGATCAAAGAATTTGTTCTCATGCAGCCAACATGGCCAAGAGTCTCTCCAAATTAAGGTAGGTTTGGCCTTAGGCAACAGCCACAACTCCCTGGGCTTATATTTAAAGCAACTTGGTAGGACCTAACAGAGCTTGTACTCTTTGAGAATCTAGGGCCTTAATGCATTGGAGCAAGAATTCAATGAATAATTTTTCATACTTATTAAGTAAAATTAAGCTTAAGTCTATTTACTCTGGCTTTCCATAACAATAGTAGTAGTAGTAAACACTTTTTTTTTAACAAAAGTCTTTACAAAGTTCTTTACACATATCTCATGTGGGTCTCATGAAATCTTGTGAGGTAGGCACTATTATTATTATGCCCATTTTACAGATGAGGAAAACTGAGGTTGAAAGAGGTTTAGTAACTTTCGGGTAGCTCTTTTCCAAGTGCTTTAAAAAATCAATTACAGCTTTTATGGATGAGCCAAAGATATGCCCCAGATCTGGTTCAATGGCTAATCCCTGACTCATTCAACATCTCCTGAGCCTAGAGTTTCATGGAACAGACATAAGGACATATTCCAGGCTCTTGCCTCCAAAGGGCCCTGTCCCTACACACTTGAAAAATATCTTCCTGTTAAGTCTTTGTCTCCCTTCCCCATCTTACATATACCAATTGAGACCAACAGGGGGCATGCTGAACCATGGCTCATCAACTTTGCTTAAGATTGAAAACCTAATATGGCAGCAGCACACCATTCTCTCAAAGCAAAAACAAATGATTTTTGGTGGGTTTGTTGTTTTCCATTCAGTTCTCACTCTGCATTCCTCATTGTGAACTCCTTTTGCTGAATGTACACTGCTCAATGCCCACCTTGGTTTTTTTTTTCTCAGCATCTGTCAGATTGCTTAAATTTGATTGAAGCTAAAATAAACCAAACACATCCCTTCATCCTCTCCAGCCCCTTAGCCCTCCACAAAGGACAGAAAAGCTCCTTAATAGTTTTGAATTAGAAAACTGTGCCAGTGTGCTGTTGCTTCCTTCAGCAGCCAACATCTCATAAGACTTTCATTCCTTTTTTTTCTCCTCTCACATTTCCTGGAATTGAGGTTTTGGAACATATCTTACTTTACATTTGTGGACCACTAGCAGGATGAGGGGTTCTATGTGTAACCTCCAGATCTGGATCAGCAAGATCTGGTGAAAACTGTGAGTTTTTTGTTGTTGTTGTTGTTTTGTTTTGTTTTGTTTTTAGTAAAGTATTAGACGTACTTGATTTTCACACCCTGGGAAACTGTCCAGTGTGGAAAACCAAAGAGCAGCAGCTGAGTACCATCTGTCATTGTCTATGGCTACCATAGGCTTCATATACAATATTTGTTCTTTTTGCCTATTCTGCCATGTATGCGGTAGGTACACTATGTTTGCTGAATTAAGTCGAATATTATATGTCTCTATAATATTTACATATTTCTGTTAAAGACCTCTCTCCTTTT